TAGATGCCGAGCTGCAAAGCTCATCTGAAACAGAGCAAAGAGTAGAGAAAAAAGGAAGAACTGCTTGGCCATTGTGATTTGTGAAAAATGGGATAGAACGAAATCGCTTCGAAAAGTTGTATTGGTAATTGATGCTTATGGTGTAGTGAGATAGTAATTAGCTATGATGAGTATTTATAAGGTAGTATTGTTTGGGTTGCTGATGAAAGTTGAAAGAGGAACAACTAATTTTAGTTATGGATTGTGGTTGGTCACCTTCCCTTATTATTGGAGACATTATAATATATTATATTGATGTTAAGAAACGAAATCTGTTGCATTTGTCTTAGTTGATGTCTAGAATCGTATAGTTAGGTTAACAGGCTGATAAGAATTGTCAAACTTTGAAAATTTATAACTGCAACAAGTAAATAGCATTATGTCATGGGCTATTTCTAACACTATTACCTTTAGAAGGGCAGGGGCTCCCTCTTCCCTAACAATAGTCTTGAGACAATCGACTATGCCATTGTACTGATTTGCAGATCCCTGTGGAGAAAAATTATAATGCCAAGAGTTACTATGAGAGACCATGCAACAAGCAAAGATGTGAAACAAAAATTGAAGAGCCATACAAATCAGATTAAGAACAATACGATACCTGGGTCATTAGCCTAGTCTTAATAACATCAAGAGGGGTAGTAATAGCACCAGTTAAAGCACCTGAAAATTTTGATAAAGACTGATATAAAACCCATAACAATACATGACAATGATAGCTTTTAAAATGCCAATTTCAAATCATGCTCATGCAAGAAGACTTCTTACTGTTATTACAAAAGGCCAAGGTAACCACCAAAATGTCTGAAATAAAATCAGACTGTCTTCAGTTGCATCTGTACAGAAATTACACCTCAAATTCTCTTAAAGTTTCATAAGTTTACAGAATATCACATAGATGTTCCTCCGAATACTGGAACTCACAAGAAAAGGAAATTTATAACTGTTATCATAATATAGTAATAGAGGACATGTTAAATGTTCTGCTTGAATTTAATGGCAAAATTTGCAAGTCTTATTCCTATAAGCAAGTTTGCCCCTGTAGTAATTTTCTTCCATTAAGAATCATACGAAATTAGAAGGTTATGTACAGGCATTTAACTAGACAATGTTGGATGAACAAGTATCATGGAAATTAGCATAGTCAAGCTTTAGCCAGCATCTGTAATAGCCAACTCAGGCCATGCAATTGATGTTCCAAGCGTTATCCTAGTACAAAGGTTTCTCATCGGTTTGATTAAAAATCAACAAGTTTGGTATAAATATCTCAGGCTTCAGTTTCTAATCATTCATCTCAGTTAGCAAGCTCAAAGATGCAAACAGCACAAAAAGCATCTACAGAGACCTGCATTCTCCACATTACCACACAAACAGCAGGAACCATACTGCCTATTCTAATTACTAGAAACACCACGTTAACAAACGTATGATAAAAAATAGGATTATGCATGTGCCTATATGTTACTCAATGAGCAAGCAAATTGTATTTGTTATTACCAGCAAAAGCACCAATAACAGCATTCTCAGGATCATTCAGTTCTCTTTTGGCCTGAAATAAATGGAGGTTAAGATAAGCATTTTATTAGTATGAATTTACACATGAAGAAAAGCATACAAAGTACTAGGATATGTCTCCTTTCTCCTTTTCATTAACTAAGGGACATGGGCATATAACAAAGACTCATGCATGTATCATTGCTAAAGTAGTTGGGACAGGAAAATTAAGAAGTAATGATAGGAAAAATGAGTTTTTCAGTACATATATGCACCCCACAGATGATTCCTTAAAGGTAGTATCCAGTGGACAAGGCTCTCGCTAGGGTAGGTCCAGATGTATGCAACCTTACCCTTATTTGCATAAAGAGGCTGTTTGCTTCCAGGGATCAAAATCGTGACCTTTCGGATAGCAAGTAGACACTTGACCACTGCACTAAGGCACGAACTTCCCCATAGATGATTACTTCCAACATGAAAAGGCTTATATGTATTATTGTAAGTTCTATAGGTCCATTACACCAATAAGACATAGTACTCTGAATTTTATACTCCACATATAACATGTGGCTAAACTAATTGGATCTTAGCATAAACAAAATTATTTGAGGAAACTGAAAAGTAAGTACACATTAAACAATCAACCCGACCTTCGAGAAACGACCACTTATTAAAGGCCCAGCAATTCAGCTTTCAGTAGCAACATTAGACCTCATTTAATGACTGCGAAAATTAAGCTATAAGCTCAATTTCATCAATGCATTTGCTACACCTGCATCAACTGTCTTCTCCGTGTCATGTAGTACAGTTATACAGCATATTTGACATACAATCAGACGTCAACACTTGATATTAAGGTCCTTTACATATTCTAGGAAACTTCAAAGAGTCTAATGTGCCAGCACCTATGGTCATTGTAATTTGAGGTGGTGCGCGATCAACACAAGTCAACAAAATTTCATTAATCCCAGTAAAGGCGGTCCAGATTATGCACAAGCTATGGGACTGTGTAACAAAACCTACACTCCTGGAGCATACTAATTCAAACCCTCAACGAACTCCAAAACAAATTTTTCATCCAATATGAAATTATGTAACAAAACTACACTCCCTTTTTATATTTCTTAAACCCGGCAACAAAATCACACTCTCTATCTCTTCTCATAAAACCCAATAAAATTTTGCAGAATAATCTCGCTTATAAATATATATCTTGAAAATGGGTTGTTTGATTGATTGGGGTCATATTCAATTTAATTAAACTAAACCTTTAAGAATCATGATTATATTTTATTACTAACAAAATTAGCTTAAGAATATTACAACATTATAACATATTGTAAAATTAAACCCCTGAAAATATAATATAGTACCTGATTGTTCCATTGAAGAGTTCTTGTTACCAATGGCTAAGGTCAAAGGCCCCATCCCCAGTTGCAAAAACCTCCTTTATTACCCAAATAATACAGCATAATATTCAGCAATTAAACAGCGAAAAAAGAGTGATAAAAATCTTTAAGAAATAAAATTTTGAGGAGAATTAATACATAGAAATGCAATTAAAATGTGATAAATTCAACTACATGCATTCAAGGGAAAAAATTGCATAATTCCAATATTGTAAATGTTGAAAATTATACTAGTATATGAAGCAAAGGAACACAATTATTAAGTCAAAGAAATAAACTTTCAGTCAATTGAGAGAGAAAAATTAGGAAGTACCTATGGAAGAAGTAGGAGTGTTGTGATTGAGACAGAGAGTTGCAGTGTTTTTGCAGGATTTTCTGGCAAAATGGAGAAGATAAAGAGGAGAGAGAATTTGAATGTGGGCTTTATTGGGCCATCAAGAAAGTAACAAGGCAGGGCCGAGGGCCAACTCAAGTTTTGTTTTATTAGCTTCTGTGACGGCCCTAACGAAACTGACCCGACTTGAATTATTCTAATAACATTGCATGAATTGAATTCAACACTACATTGTCTACATGGAAGATTGGAAGTTAAGTCATACTAGATGATCAATTGGCACCTCTACATCTCACAAGGTCTAAGTAGATTACAAGGGTGGATGTGTCCGTGTGGTCGATTACTTTGAAAGTTAATCAATTTACTAGATTGGGAAGTTGTTTGCATGTATTACTATAGAGAAGCTATGAAAATCCACTGGTGAATTGGTTAGCCGATCACATAGTTGATCAAATTACCGAACTTACCATCATCATATTCTATCGATAGATCTTGAATTATAATAAGAGGTGATGTTAGAGGAGTGAATATGCCACGTTTAATTTCATCGTAATTTCAATAAAAGGTTGGGTTTTACTCTATTTTGTAGTAATAAAAACAAAAACCGTTGGATTTTCAATTTCTAAGCATTGTACTTATTCTCCTTTGAGAGTTGTAAAACAAGATTGGTAAGTGGAAATGAATCGCCACATTGGTATAATATAAATCTCGGTCTAGCAACATACAAGTGGTAACTAGAAAAAGTTGTTCTTAGATAGTGAATACGAGTGTTTATTGAGAATTTCTCATTCTTCCTACAAGGTTTTACTCTACTACGATATTATATAACAAAAAAAAACATAAATCTAAAATACAATTTTAATGGATATAACTATATACAATTTGAATTGTTTAAAAAAGTGCAATAACAAAAAAAAAAAAAAAAAAAAAAAAAATTAAAAAATTATAAATAAATAAAAATGTATGCCTTCGCTGATTCCTCTACACTTAATGCCTTGGCTGGGACGGGGATTGAAGTCATGGTTGCCATCCCTAATGACATGCTTAGCCGAATGAACATGCTAAAGAATGGGTTAAGAAAAATGTTACCAAACATCTTTATGATGGAGGAGTTAGCATAAGGTAATATGTATGTAAGATCATTTCAACATATGATTTTGCAAGATATATTAATCATAATTATATGAACCACTTCCCTCGGTTACGGGTCCTCATGCAATGACCTTGATGCTAATGGTAACATTTCATATGCCTTCAACATGTATTTCCAGATGAATGATCAAAGTGTCGAAGCTTGCCAGTTTGACGGCGTTGCTACGATTACGTCCACCAATGCCTCCCAACAAGGGTGCCTATTTCCAATAGAGGTTGAAAGTGCGGCAATAAGGATTATCAAGGTTCCAACAGAGGCTGTTCTTTTGGTTTTTACGCTTATGTTGTTTTTGTTGCTGTAAGGTATCCCAAGTTAGTCCTTAGTCCTGAATCCTGAGGTAATAAACTCTTCTCAGATTTTCTTGTACAATAGTCATATACAAGGATTTTCTTGTATAATATAGTCATGTACAATAAATTAGCGAGAGATAGTCTCACCTACAACTTGCCCATTTCTTATGTACTACACCCGAGCTGACAATAGACCATGTTAGATCCAAGCAAAAAGATCTTTTGAGAAAAAATATAAATCATCCAAATTACAAACAAACAATTTCAACCATCAAATATCATTTTCAAGAATAATAAAACAAAATTTTCTAACATTTTGCAGCAAGAATCCATGCACAGGCTAGTGTCTACAAGATTATCAGCCAGAAAAAGGAGCTTGATGTTTAACAAACACTTCTAAATAGATCAGACAACACTTTCAGTTTACCAAGTGAAAATTATATGTACACACAATGCCATTGTAGGCAAGGGATAGTGAGGTTAGCTTGTGGTTCCTGGTGACTTTCAGGTCATTTCTCGAAAAATAAAGAGCTTCCAGCCTCCATAATTGCCTAAGACAGGATCTTCTTAGCAAAGGGGTTCATCAACTCAGCCAGGGACCTGTACAAGAAAACAATGGTAAAATAAATCAGCAAATTCATAATAAAGTAATTTAGATTGTAATGTCATGGACATCATTTTCTTTACCTCGATGATCTATTACAGGCTAAAGGTATCATAAATTATGAGACCTTGACAGTAAATATTTTTTATAGACTGTGTACCTATATGAAAGGCGAAATTTCCACAACCTTTTTAAGCCATCTCAAATCACAGGCCACTTTCTAGCTAAGTTACTATACTTTGAATTTTCCTATGTTACCCTTGATTGTTTATTTTAAGGGACACAAGGAGTAGCTTTCTGCTAACAAACCCTTTCCATCTGCTCATGTAATGAAGAAACAAAATCAACATGTTTAGGTGCAGGGTAGCGGTCTAGTGGATATGCAAATAAAGATGCACCCTGCAACATAGTTTTATATGGCTTCCTTTACCTGCTAAAGCTTAGGATCTCCACAGATGACATGGCTGCCTTAATGATAAATAGTCATTTATTTTTATCACAAGCAGCAGCTCTCTCATTGAATTCACTTACAGTCAATTTACAGATTTTAATGAAGAGGGCAAATTCCAACTTACAAGGGTCAATGACATAGCCATGAATATAATAACACAGCTAAAGAATCTTACCACAGATTCAAAACTTAGTTATCTCTTATATGAAAACTGAGACTTAAACTCCTTCTCTAGCTGTTCTCTCGATTCTGTTTTTGCTGCCATTACAACATCTTCAAGGAATCCTCTTTGTGGGAATTCTTCTGGAACAAGATTTCTGTAAATCAGCTTCCTTCTTTTTGTTCAGTAAGCTGTAAATTATTCCCTGAAATATGATATATGAATGATTACTTGATTAAATTGAATGAGCAGCCAAGTAGATAACAGGATGCAAGATACAAAGATTTCGAGGCTAGCAGAGATCTCAGGTTGGTACTCTAACAGACGAGAACAACATGGAAGACAAAAGGCCAATGCACTGAATTACAGAAGACAGAAAGTACAATAAACAACCCCTCAAGTCAGCAATGTTCACATTTCATGGTAACACCATGTGAGCCAATTCATTTAAAAGTAGCATACTTCATGTTTCTAATTCCTTGTTCTGCACATCCTTTACATGTAGCCAATCACAATCCTCGTAAAGTCCAGTAGTATTTAATTATTTATTTTCTAACGATTCTATACTTGATGAGCATCTTAAGAAAATCACCTATTATAGCAAGTCCACCACTCAACAGAACAACTAGAGGGCCGTAGAGGGTCAAATAATTCCAATTTCTAAATTAATTGTTCAAAAGTAGTCCTTATAATTCAACCTTCCCTCCTAACTTGCTGCTTCCCAAAACATCTTTAAAAAAATCCATCCAAAGCATGATTTCCTTCACTCAATTTAGGTTACCAATCACAAGGAGCTTCAATATTTAAAAAAATTGAGCAAGTCAGGACATTTGCATAGATGAACAATATCATAGGTGCCTAAGGTTATTTGCATGAGTTCTTTACATAGAATATAGTCACTAAAAAGAAAAACAAAACAAGAATTAAAGGCAGGTTGGTATTAAGCTGATTTTAATTTTGCAACTTTCATTCATCTGGACGGGCAGGTTGGTATTCATTAGGATAAAACACCGTTACTCGGGTCAGCATTTCAACAGCTTCTGCAAAATCGAGTGGCAATTGACATACACCTTGTACGTAGTTGGCAGCAGTGATTTCTGACTCAAATTCACACATCCAATTGGGAGCTTGAAGATGAGGATTATTTGATTGCGTTATTAACTCATCAACCAAGCCGGTGACTTCTCTAAAATTAGCAAAATCTAAGCACCAAATTCGAGGCAGATATGCAATATGTATATACTCTGCTGGATCATCAGACCATTTGTATTGGATTGGGACCATTGCTTCTGCATTATCCCCCATTTCTCCATCCTCCTCTCCCATTTCTTCATTCTCTTCCTCTTCCTCTTCCTCTTCCTCTTCCTCATCAGGAAAACGAGCATCACTGTCCAATGAACCTGAATTCACCAGCTGATCTGAAGTATGAATCATTTGGCAAATTGAACTCCTACAATATTTATAATACATGAAACTAATAAGTCCATGTCAACATCAAAGTAGGTGAACTACTCCGCACAATTAATCAAAAGGAAGAATCTCAATAAACATAAGTTTGTAATAGTAGGAATTACTTCATTTCATTAGTAGAGTTGCTTTTGAAAGTTCCTCCCTGCCTTCTGTTTCCGATGCAATTGATAATCATGCAGACTTTGGTACTCTGAGCATTTGGATAGCTAAAAGAAACTGCAACATGTATCATATATCAACAATTAATTTGTGAAGGTTCAATGGGCACTCAAGAGGGGGGGGGGGGTGAATTGAGTGTTAAGTAATCGTTGGCTAATTTTGCTTCTTTTCGGATTATGTGTGAGGAACCAGTTGTGCTGGTTCCCGTACGCAGCGGAATATAAATAAGCAATAAAGAAGACAACAAATTTAACGAAACAAAGCAATAAAGAACACAACAAATTTAACGAGGTTCAGCCAACTCAGGCCTACGTCCTCCTATCCTAAGTTCTTTATTGATCTACTCCGAAAAACAAAGACAAAGAACACTCTGCTGTTCCCTACTCCGGGAACCAGCAAACCCCACACTCTACTCCGAGTGTGCTCTCGACTTACACTCGTAAGCCCAATGTGTTTGAACTCACAAACACTCACCCAGCCTTTAACCCCTTTGTTAAAGACTCAATACAAGAATCAAGAACTCCCCTTTGATCTCACTTCTACGAAGCTAATTAAGAGAAAAAGTTTAAGTACTAGAATGCTCTTGTATATGACTTGATGAATGGGATTAGTGCTTAAGTATATGCTCTCAAATAATTGCTCTTTTAATTTCTGGAGAGGCACACGAAATATGTGAAATAAGATGAGTTTATATAAGTTTAGATTCCTAAAACCTAGTTTCCTTAAATCACACAATCTTAGAGAATAAGATATAATGTAATTTTAGGAAAGTTTTTATCTTATTTGATTTAATCACAAAGATAGAATCAATTAAGATAAATACTCCTAGTTTTTAGGTAACCAAGAATATTTCATCTTATTTCCAGCTGCACAAAATATTTTCAAAATAATCTTTTCGAAAAAAATCTTTTTGTAAAATCTTTTTCCAAAACGGCAGCTCGAATACAGTGAACCTGGTTCCCCGACCTGGTTCCCTGAATTGAAACATGTTATGAAACCTGTTCCAACTTTGTACCAGATTTCATATCATACTTCAATATACTTTTAAGCACTTATATAACCCAAACATGCAAGCATACTACGGAGCATATTACATGAAAACCTAGATAACATATTAAAGCATAAATCGTCTTTTCTTCATGTAATCTTCAAGACTTGAATCTTCCTTGAATACTTCTATTATGAGCAAACAATCTTTCTTCGAAATATCTTCGAAAGGCTTCTATGCTCCAAGTCTTGGAATCAACTCAACTACTGCACATGTAACATGGTTAATGCACAATAAAGAGTATGTGACTGCTTTACCACGTAGCAACCATGGAAACAGTACATACTGGTTCCCTACCAGTACATAACACTTTTATCATATAACTGTTCCCTGTATAAAGACAAGTTAGTTCAATAAGAAAACTCATGTAAGTAATAACTTGTCTGGGGAAACAGTGTTCTATGTTAGCTGGTTCCCCCAACTGTATCGAACACTTTCAAGGACCTGTTTCCCTTAGCTGTTTGTCATCATTCAAAACTATCAATCAAAACCTAAGGGACTCAACAAATTCCCCCTTTTTGATGATGACAAACTTTTGAAGTTCCTGAACCTGTGAACATGCTCAAAAGGAAAACCGTCAAAAACTTCAAGGACTCAAGACTCTTTGGAACAAGTCAGTTAGGCCAACTGGTTCCCTAAACAGAAAATAGAAAATACGAAATAAAAAGACTCAAACTGACTCAATCTAAACTAGCTAAACCTTAGGCTTCAACTTCAGACTACTTCCCCCTTTTGGCATCATTAAAAAGTATCCATAAGTAAAAGCAATGTGCACAAGTTAATGTGCTTATCCATACAATGGCATCAACCACCATTCAAGCATTATGCTGCAAAAAGAGATTAGCCAAACAGTTCATACCATAGCAGAGTTAGTAGTTCATACAAGCCAACAAAGTTCAACCAAAGAAGCCCAAATCCATCCAAAAAGAAAGTTCATGGAATGGAGAGAAGTAGACAGACCAACAAAATCAGTTATTTTAGAATAAACATGAGGGTGAGGAAACAAGAACAGAAACAGCATCACTCCTCATCATCATTCTCGTTCCCTTCCTCCTCCTCAAACTTTGCAACATCTTCTGTATTATCATCTGATTCCTCTTCATCTTTGTCACCATGCTCTGCCAAAATCATTATATTACTAAGCATATTCTTGTGATTCCCCAATCTGTTTCAAAACCACTTCCTGACCTGCTGGTTCCTCTTTTTTTTTTTTTTTTTTTTTTTTTTTTTTTTTTTTTTTTTTTTTTATAAATCATGAGAGATATGTACTGATTCAGAATGTTCTCCTTGTTGCATAACGAGTGCAAAACTAGCATCACATCAATCAAGCAAGGAGGTTCTTGCTGGTACCCTTTTTCTCTTGGTTCCTGGAACAGCGTCAATGGACTGTTCCTCCTGCACCTTCTCAGTGAACTTCTTTAATTGAGTTACTCTACTTCGTACCATGGTCTTAGCAGTGGGTGTCTCCTCATAATAACCAACAACCTCTATTTCATCCTTTTCACTTTGACTTTTCTGAATTTCCTCCAACTTCGGGCTTAAGGACATTTATGCTTCCTTCTGATGTTCCCCCTGAGACTGAGCTGGTTCCTTGAGTGAACAGTAACCGAATGAACAATGATGAATTTAAAGCATACGAGAGAGAGAAAGAGAATTTCGAGTGATGATGATTGATGATCTGCACAAAGGGTTAGTGTATATTTTTAACAATGAAGCACAAAGAGAGAAGAAGGAAAGAAAAGAGTTAGTTGAGCCAATAAAAAGCAACTGTAAAGGATATTTTTAAATTGAAATCAAAAATTTGGTAATTATCTTTTACCATAATTATCTCAACCAACTATAAATAAGGCATATGATATGTTTGCCTTTTATATGGGATTAAATAACTGAAATAAGATAAATTCCTTCCAAAAGGAAATATCTTATAGTAATCTTCCGAAAATAAAAGATATTATCGGATGACATATCAGAGCTGGTCTGCTGTTTCCCTTTGCTGGTACCTGTATAGAACCATGTCACGCTGTTTCTGGCAATTCAGCCTGATTTCACCTGTTTCTTACAACAATGATTCTCAATCCTTTTGAGATTTTGAACCATCTACACAACACTTGAAAGATATCAACATAAGTATGTACACACACTATACAAGAGAATACCATTCTAACCAATCATTGAAGGAAGTAATTGAAGCCAATACCTAAAGTCTAACTAGACCTAAAAGGACTCTTAACCTACAAAAAGACTCTCTACACAAAGGCTTTGTGAAGATATCAGCAATTTGATCTTCACTTTTACAAAACAACATCTCCACCAATCCTTTTTCCACATTGTCTCTTAAAAAATGGTGTCTTATTTCAATGTGTTTTGTCTTGGAGTGTTGCACAGGATTCTTTGAAATATTGATTGCACTAGTGTTATCACAAAAAATAGGAACACTTTTATAAATAACACCAAAATCTTTCAGCTGGTTCCTTATCCACAGT